GTCGCGACACACGAGCCCGTTGGTGCGGCCGGGCTGGAACGGGCTGGAACAGGCCGGAACGGGCTGGAACGGGCCAGCCGGTGAAACCCGGGCTGGTGTTTGCGTTGCCGTCGCGCAGCGGCGAAGCCCGTCCTGATCCGAGCGTTGGGCTGCAAAACCCCCAATGCCTCGGGGCGTCCCGCTCGCTCCTGGCACCCAACAGCGGCGGGACCGCGGCGCCTCACCCTTGGGGCACGGGAAGGCTTTGGGTTTTAGGAGTTTTTTTGTTTTGTTTTGTTTGTTTGTGTTTTTTTCTTTTTTTCTTTTTTTTTTTTTCCAGACAGTCTGGAATAAATACACGCAGGAGAGTTTGCTCGGAGAGAACTTTTATACTTTTAGTGTCTGTTGTTCCTTAGGGGTTGTTTTTTTGGTTTGGTTTGGTTTTCTTTTGTTTTTTTTTGTTTTTTTTTTTTTTTTAACAAAGGTTTTAGCTGAGCAAAAAAATCCCATCTGTATGGCTTTTTTATTAAAAGATAAAAAGCCAGAGTTCATAGGAGTTAGCATTAAGTCACAGTCCACGGCAGTCTAAGGTATTCACTGGCTGGGGACTCTCTCTGTTTATTTCAAATACCCCTTTATCATTTTGTTGAAAGAGCGGTGTTCTCTGTAAAGCTCTGCCAATTGAAAAAAGAATCAGATAATGAAGACTGATGCTGCACTGATGACAGCCCTTCAGATCCTCAATAGGATTTCTCCAAAATCAAAAGACTTTTTTGTTTTATTGTCACACTTGTGGCTTAAAAATAATTAAATTTAATCTTTTAGCTCGAAATGAAAATTTAAAAACAGCCCCCTTTCTCCCCCCCTCCCGCAGGAAAAAGACAAAGCAAATGCAAATATCCAGTGGGTGCTGGAGAAAATTTTGTAAATTATAAATGAAAAGATTGTATTTACAGTGGGTGCCCAGCATATGTGCTTTGCAAAGACGGCATTATTGCTCTCGGCAAGCGTGACCGGTCTTTGCGTGTGCCTGCAGCGGTCGTCCCGAGGGACTGAGAGTCAACGTCCGACCCACACGTACAAATGGTGCTTCCGCCTGTCGATCTGGGATCCGTATTTTGGGGAATCATTCCGGCGCGTACCGTCCTCCCGGCGCGATTCCCGCGGGCGCAGAGGCTGCGTGGCTGCCGGGCGGTGCCGCCGCGGCGGTTCCCCGGCGCGGCGCGGCCGGGCTCCAGGCGCCTTTGGGGACCCCGGGCAGCCCCCGCTGGCGCCGGCCGCCCAGTCCGGCTGCGGTCCCATCCCCGGTTTGTCCTGGCCAGGGCGTGCGGGCCCAGCGGAGCTCCCAGCCCGGCGGGACAGCGACACGTCGCCTCTTCCCCCGGCCGCGGTGCCCGGCAGCACTTCTGCTCGCTGCGCGGGGATCCGTTTGGTACCTTCGAAAAGTTTGAACGAATTTGTTCATCCCAGTGGAAGGCAGATAAATAAAATATATCGGGAGCCATTTGTGCCGTAACTAAAGCCCTAAATTTATAGACGGAGAGCGTAGCAAATGACAACTTTGTCACAGTACATGAAAGAGTGGAAATTAGGCTTTGCATTTTTACCTGATCTGTAAAGAGCCCGCGCCGCTCCCCCGGCTGGGGACAGGTACGAGGAGATGCTCGGAGGAGACGCTGCCGCCGCAGAGCCCGGCCGGCTGCGGGGAACGCAACCCACCCGGGAAGCGCTGAAACGTCTTTCAGGCGAGCCGTTAAATCTGAAATGCTCTAACTTGATTATTCCTTCTCCGGATTCCTTTTGAGAAAGTCCTCCATTTTCAAAGAGTTACACAGGATTTAGCCCCATGCTGGCTTTAATGTGGATTGTGCGGCTAAAATTGCATGCAGTTCTTTGAAAATTTCAGAGCCGGCGCCTTCCCCAAGATCGACAACTGTTTCATTTCTCTTGACAGGGTATGTAGAGCGAACAAACGCTGCCGTTTGCGGAGGCATCTTTTTGGTCTCCGTCTCTGTGGCACCTTTGAGGCTCAAAGAGCTGCGTGAGAACGGGAAGGCCCGCAGTACCTGCGGAGGCGAGGTGCCTTCTGACGTATTGTCCTTTTCTAGAGGGAAACGTGAGGTTCTTTCTCCCTTCTCGGGGTCACGTCGGGAGCGAATGCCCAAGCGAGGGGACTCGGTGGAAAGCCGCTGTGGCTAGCGAGTCGCCTGGGTTTCCCTTGCACCGTCCTTGTGAAGGTGAGAGCAGGTGATTGATCGCTGGTTTCGCAAACGCACCTGGAAACGGCGTCCACCATCGCTTCTGCAGTGGCTCTCCCTGGGGTCGGGTTCTTAAAACCGCCCTTAGGGTGGTGGGGGGGGCCGTGGCCTCCGGCGCCGCGCCCGGCGCTGGCGGCAGCAGGATTGGTGCTGGGTCTGGCCAGGACCGGCACGGCTGCCGGCCTGCTGCCTTCGCACCGGCTGCTGCTCGGGCACGTTTCGTTGCTGCGTCTCGCTGCCGTCGCCCGGTGCCCCTCGAGGCGTGTGGGAACGCCCGTTCGCGAGGGCCGGGAGCAAACGGGATCGGTCATTCTTCTCGCGCCTTCCTCTGCAAGCGTCCGCAAAGCCGCGGGGCTCGGCTCTGTCCCCGCGCGGGTGCCAGGGGTGGGAGTTCTCATTTCAAACCGCACTTCCGCGCCGGCTTTAAAGGCTGAAGCAACGAGCTGTTGTCGGTTTGAAGGCGCAAAGGCGCCAGCGGGTGTTGGAGGGGTGCGAAGGGTGCGGGGCTCCCGGGGGGGGGCAATTCCCGCCGCTCCTCACCCCTCTGGGAGCAGCGAGGGAACCGGGTGGGTCCCGGGGAGCCTCCGCAGCTGCAGCTCGGGGGCCAGGGGATGCGCTGGGTCGCGGTCCCGCATCCCACGAGCGCTCCTGCGCTGCGGTTCTGCTCCTGGCCCCGGCGCTGGGTGCTGGCGGGGGGCGCTGGGTGTCGATGGCCCGCAGGCCGTGCGGTTCCCTGGGCCGTTGCCCGTCCCGGCGTGGCACACCACCGTTCCCCGGCACGCCGCATCTCCCGCTGCCGTCCCTCGGGCCGAGAGAATGGGGGAGCGAGCCCGGCGTGGAATGCCCGCGGCTCCATCGGCCGTGCCCGTGGGGTGGGTCAGCCCTCGGCAGCCCCTCCCAGCACCCACCCCCCCCCAGGTCCCTGCCACCGCCCCCCGTTAGCTGCTGGCCCCGGCTGCCCGTGACGCGGTGTCACTCAGCTTTCAATCACTGCCAACGGGGCTCGCGCATCAATATCATAACTGCTAAACACGCTGTGACAAATAATCTGAGGGTAAGCTTCCAGGACAGGGGAAATCGTTTCCCTCTCGAAATTAAAGTTGATGCGTAATGGGATGCAGTAAGATGTTTCCAGCAGGAACATCGCCAGTTTTCGTGCATCTCGCGTCGCGTCCCTCTTTGTCTGCCGAGCGAGACGCGGGAGGTCGGGGAAGTCATTTCCTAGAGTTCAGGATTCGCAATTTGCATTCTATAATCTCCCGGTCATTTAGCAGCAGATAATTTGTCATGGTTTGGTTTAGCTGTTGTGATATTGATATTTATTATGCAAATTGTAGTTCCTACTACTTATTGTTCGGCACCCTATGAATACTTAAATTATTATAAACCTTTTTAGTTAATACGAGTTGCCTTTCGATTTGATGTCTGAGCCGCAGTGGGTCATAGCGTACGGTATCGTACAAAAGGGCCTAAACCGTGCAATTAAAAAGAGGCGAACGGGACGGCCGGGTGCCTGATGACCCTGCGGTGAGCGGAGCTCCTCTGCAGAGCTGCTCCAGCCTGAGTTTGCTGTTCGGCAGCGCTCGAGTCCTTCTGCAGGGACGGGAGTTCAGCATCGCGGGCGCAGTCGAATGCTTCCTCACCAACGCGGGGATGAATCTGCCCGCGCCGCGGGACCCCGAGGATTCCGGCGGCCCGAAGCTCCGCGCCTGCGGCACGTGTTGAGCGGGAAGGCGAGTCCTTGGGCCCGTCGGCGGGGCGGGAAGGCGCCGGGGCACGGCGGGTCCCGCGGGCAGGGGGGGTTCGCGTGGGGCTGGGGGTGCCCCGAGAATAGTGGGGATCCGGCGTTTTGCCGGGAGCCGGTCGTCGCTCACCCCGAGCGGTTGGAGCTCCGTGCTGGGCAGGCGCCGGGGCGAGGAGGGGCGAGGGGCAACTCCCCCGCCCCGCGGGAACTTGCCGTCCCGGGGTGGAGGGGCTGGGCCGGGCGCTCTGCTCTCCCCTTCACCCGGCTTCAAGCCCGTCGCGGGGGAAAAGCGGCAGAAAAGGCCGATTTGGGGCGGGCTCCGGGCTCCGCTCCCCCGCGGCCGGGAAGGCTCAACACCGCCTCCAGCGGCCCCGGGCCGGGGGGCGCCGGGGGCTGCGGGGGTCCGACCCCGGAGCGGGCACTGCGGGAGCGATGCTGGGGCGGTGCCGCACCCCCGGAAGGGGATGTTGGGGGGGGGGGGACACACGACACCGCGAGGGGGATGCTGGAGGGGGGGACGGGGCCCCGGGGGGCTGGCGTGGGCAAGCGGCGGGCGGGGCATGCGCGCAGCCCCTCCGCCTGTCGCCCCGCCGGCAGGAGTCGCGATAGGTGGCCGTAGATTGGAGGAGCTGTAGGAAACGTGGGGTCTTTTATTGTGGTTTTGGTTTCAGTGCTTTTTTTTTTTTTTTTTTTTTTTTTTTTTTTTTTTTTTTTTCCCTGATGCTCGCCCGCGACCCTGCGGCTCTGACCGAAACCCCCAATCCCGCGCGAAACGCCGCTTTCCCGCGCGGCCGCCGAGCTGCTCTGCCGGGGGGGTGTGTGCGTGTGTATAACCGTGTGTGTGTGTGGGGGGGGGGGGCGTGCAGGACCCCCCTCACTATTCTCCCCCCATCTCCCCGCCGCGCCCTTGCGTCCCGCGCCGCGGCCGGCACTTTCTCCCCGGCCCCTAGGCGCGGGGAGGGGAGGGGGGGGCGTGTCCCGCGGGCGGCCCCGCCCCCGCGGCGCGCTGACGCGGGCGCATCTCATTAGCGGCGCGCGCGGTCGCTAGGTGCCGGCGCGGCGGGCAGAGCCGAGCAGGTGCCCGAGATGGCGGGTCGCGCCCAGCCCCGCCGCCCCGCGCCCGCCGCCGCCGCCGCCCCGGGCCTCCTCCCGCTCCTCCTGCTGCTCCTCTCCGCCGCCGCCATCATCCCCAGAGGTAGGGCGCGACCTCCCGCCGGGACCCCCCCCCGCCAAACCCCCCCCCGCCGCCGGAGGGCGCCGGCGAGGCCTGGGGGGGGGGGGGGGGGGGGGGGCAGCGCGGCCGCTGTTTGTGTGTCTGTCCGTGTGTGGTTTTGGGGGGGGGGGGGTGTGGTTCGCCGGTGCGGAGCGGCGGGCGGCCCACCCGCGCGTGTCGGGCCGCCGGTTGCCATGGCAGCCGCTTCTCCCCGCCGCCCGGGGGCTCGGCAGGCGGCATCCCAATTAAAAAGTAATTGCGGGGTGCGCCCCCCCCCCCCATCATTCCTCCCCCCTTTCTCCCCAGCTCCGATCCCACCCCGGCGGGGACGCGCCGCCCGCGGGAGCGGGACCTGTTGCGGTGGACGCGGGACTTGCGCGGCGCTGCCTCCGCGCTCCGCCGGGGCCCCGGCGAGCGCCCCGCTCCGCAGCCTGGCCGCGGAGGGCGCGCTAATTAGGGGGGCCGAACCGGGGAGCCCCCCCCCCCCCCACGCGTGTGCCCCTCCTTCCCGCTCGTGTTCTTCCCCACTCGTGTGCCTCCTCGCCACGCGTGTCCCCCCCCCCCACACGTGCCCGGACAGCCCGTCGGGGCGGCAGCCGGCGCGCCGCGGCGGTTCGGGGAAGCCCTTGGGCCACCGAGTGCCCGCCCGCGGCGAGCCCCGGCGCCGCAGGAGGGACTCGCGGTTGCGGCCGGTGGCTCGGCAAAAAATCTTCCCCCTTAACGCCACTTTATATTTGCAGTGTGTCACTGGAGAGGCACAAGGCTCCATTTACTGGCTCGCGCGGCGAGAGGAGCGAGCATTATTTGCCCGGGACGTTTTGGGAAGAACAAGAGGGCCATTGAGCGATCTCTTGAATTTAACTCGTAGGAACGGGGGGGATAAAGGAGCAGGCAGCTCGGCCGAACAAAGAGCTTTATTCAGAGGCGTGTTGTACACGCTCTCCCCGGGCTTCCCCGTTGGCCTTTTCGGTAGGACGGGGGGCGGCGGGGGGAAGCCGGTGGGCTTCCCGGCTCCTTCTGCCTCCGCGGGCGCTGGGCGCCCGGCGTTCCCGGCGCTGCCTTCGCCCGGTTTCGGCGGCGCCGTTCCCGCCGCCCCGAGGGCGGCCGGCAGCGATGGCCGCGAGCCGCTGCGCTCGCTCGGCTCCCGCAGAGCCGCCCCGATCTCGGGGTACTTGGTGTCTTCTCCTCCCAGCCCTCCCGACGTTTTGTCGCAAGGTGCTTTCCGTGGGATTTACGCCTGGTTTAGCTCGCGGCGTGGCGGATCGCCCGCCGCTTTGACCTGGAGACCCTGTGGTTGAAAGGCGCCCGAATTAAAAATAAAAGCCCCGTGGCAGGACAGCCGCCTTCGTTCTTTGTTTTGCTGCCTGACTCTTAATACCTCGCCTCACGTTTTGAATCCTTGGTATTTTTTTTTTTTTTTTTTTTTATCGAGCCGTTTTTAGCTAACGGCTGCTACGATACTCCGATAGGGTAAGCCTGTTAATCACCGCCCAGCTCACAGGCACAGCGACGCGATGTAGAATGTCGAAGCAGCTGAAGAGAAACAAAAGCGGGGTTGGATGCTGAATTAAAACGCCTGTGCCCGACCTATACAGTTGGGTGAAAAGCACCACCCAGCGTGAATCGAGATTGCGCTGCTCTTAGTGGAAGATAACGATCTTGTGGTTTTGCTGCTCCGCGGTGAATCGCAGGATGAAATCCCAGACCTCCTGCCTTAATGCCTTTTAGACGACGCTTCCCTTCGGGCCGAAGGACTCGCTGTGTTTGTTCCCCGTTTCCCCTGCCTTCGCAGAGCTGTCGATCCGCGCGCGGTGGTAGTCTGGGCAGCGGGAAGGAGCGTGGGGGCAGCAGGGTCTGGCGCGGGTTGCCACCTGGGGCACGGCAGAGCGAGTGCCATGCCGTGCCGTGCCGTGCTGCCGTGGCAGCCGTGACCCGGCACACGGAGGCTCTGGCTTCAGGCGGGGGTGCCTGGAATGGCGATAGGCAGCGCCTGGACTCAGGCTACACTGAGCCGGCAGCTCGAGAGGGATCTGTGCGCTTGTGGCACCTTTTTTATCCGAGCTTAATGCTTTACAGTTAATTAAACTTCAGAACGACCCCCGTGAAGGAGGGAGAGGGTCGAGGAGCGGTTTCGGCTGACACGGGGAGGCAGCCAGCGCTGGGGTGGAACGCAGCATCTGGCTAGCGGTGCAGAGCAGCAGCACTGCACGGCCGTTGAGAAAGAATAACTTTTCAGCCGGAGCTGCGGGAGGCGTTCGGAGGCGGCGTCGGCATCAGGCTGCAGCCCGGCCGCGGCACGGAGGTGTGAGGGGCTGGACGAGAGGCGGTCGCGGCGGCGGCCCCCGAGCCCCGGCTGCGGCAGGCAGGCCGGAGAAAGACCCCCTCGAAGGCAGCTGGGGCTCCCCCGGGGCGCCCGGGAGCCGGGCTCCTTCGGAAATACGGCCTGAGTTTCCGAGGAGCCTTTGTACGGGAGCAAGGCGAGGCTTGCGGTCTGCGGGCGCTTCGCTCGGACTCGGCCGGGCTCTGGCCCTGAAAAACACAGGCTCGCGTTCCGCAGGCCACGCAGCCGCCGCCGCAGCGATGCAAGGAAGGGGCTGGTGAATGAAGTAATCCATCTGGGTTGCAGCTTGGGCTCATTTGTCTTGCATGTAGGCAGTTGAGCGCAGGTTTATAAGCACGACAATCTGGCTTGGAAACCACTGCCAAGGAGGCTCCCGTGGCTCCCGAGGATGGGAAGAGCGGCAGAGAGCTGGGCTCCAGGCACGCTCTGCGGGGACGAGGGGGCCGTGGCGGGCACCTCTGGCTGCCGGGCCAGCTGCTGCCGGTGGCTTTGCCGGCCGGGGAGGAGAGTGACGCTGCTCCGGGAGCCCTGGGCCTCGGCAGCAGCCGCTCTGCTGATGCTGCGTTCCTGTTCTCTTTGTTTGTCTTTCACTGTCTTTCCGGGGTGTGTAAATAAAGAAGGCTTTGTCACCACCCGGCCCTGCCCGGGCGACGCGGTGGCTCGGCGTGCCTTCTTCCAGGCGCGCTTCGCGGGGCCGCGGCTGCGGACCTGGCCTCTGCCCTCTTGCCGGACCGAAAACGGGTCAGCTCCTTAACCCTGTGCCTGCTGCCGCCGCCCGGAACAAAACGCCTCTTTCAGCCTGGATGTGCCCTCTGTGGAAACAGACCGCCTGAACGCTCCTGACAACGCGTTGGCTCAAAGCAAAACCCCAGCGCTTCCCGACATGGCACGTAGGCAGATTGTTCTGGATCTTTCTGTTTAATGCCTGTTTTTCTAGGGATTATCGCTGCGCTTTTACAAAGGGTTTCGACAACCTCTGCCTCCTCTGCGTTTTGGTGGCAGCCAGCAACGCTCCTCTCCCGAAGGCTCCCTGGATCCGAGAAGTGAAGTTGCCTTCCGGAGCTGGGGCAGACCCCGGGGGCTGCGAGGGCCGCGCCGGCAGCGAGGCTGCAGCGCTTGCCGGAGCTGGAATCCGGCCAGTCAGTAAATACTTACGCAGTGGTTTAAGAGCACAAGCAAAGCTGGACGCGCCATCTGTATCTCTTTGGAGAAATTGGATGCTACGTGGAGGATAAAAAAAAAAAAAAAAAAAAAAAAAAAAGTTGTGCTTGTTTCTCTGGGGAATATTGTGTGCTGTTCTCTGGTGGTGCAAACCCACCAGCACTAAATAAAGAGACTCCGTTTGGAAACCTGCAATGAAGGAGAGACCCTAGGTGGAATGTTGTAATTATGAGTGGTATGTACTTGTTTAAGTTTCATAAATCAGTTGCTTTCCTGGGGATTTAATTGCAGGCTGCAGCTCGCAGCTGCTGTTGTGGCTAATGGGGAGCTCCACCACAGAAGGCTTTGAAGGTCGTCCAGCGTGGGCTTGGCCGCTTCGGCGTGCCTGGCTTCGAGGGGAGCGTGCTGGTGGAAAAGGATATTTTTTTGCATGTGTGGCAGGCGTTTTTTGAAGGAAAATACCACGAGGCTTCAATCAAAACTTTGGCGATCGAAACGCGAGGGAGCTCGTCGGCCAGGGCACACGTCGGTGCGTGGTAGCTGGCCCGCGGCGCCCCGAGACGAGCTGGCGTTTGTGGCGGAGCCACGGGCTGAATTTAGATTAGTCCGGTTTTTAATTTGCAAGTGCAGAAAGAGCCCCAGCTGCAAGCGGCGCGGGTGCAGGCTAGCTCCCCGAACGACCCTCGCCTGCGAGCCATTCGTCTCCTCCTGCTTTCTCTCGGCCTTTTTTGCTGTAATAACAGTTTCTCTCCCTCCTCGCGTACGTGTTACCCGTTGAGCTTGTTGGTTTTCCTGCTGTGCCGCGCATCAGGCTCTCGCCGTAAGTCTTTGCCCGGCACCGAGCTGGCTGTTGGGGAGCCCCACAAACCGTGCTCTGCGGAACTCCGGAAAACCTGACTTTCAGGTCGGGCCATTCAGATATATTCCAGCGAGCGATAAAAATACACAAGGAGCACCAGTGGTTCTCGTAATTGGTGTTGAACTCTTACCACACGCTCACCCGCTGTTTGTGGTCGGTGGCTTGCTTGTTGTAGTTAAAGCGCTCCACTGGATTGTACCAGGAACTTTCCCTGGCTTGCACACCTAGTTATTTTAAATCAGCGGCGTCCCTTCGTCGGGCTGGGCCAGCGGGCTATTTTTACCCTCCGGTTTGGCTCTAATCTATTACGTTCTTCTGCGGTTTAAGTGCTCGAGTATTAAAAACATTCTGACCTTACTGAATTCTCAAGGCGATTCTATTATAAGACTCGAGACCCCATGAAGATGCCAGCGTAGAGGATCAAAGCGATACTTAGGCACATCTCTGTGCTCAGAAACCCCAAACTTTGGCCGGCTGTCGCTTAACTGAAAAATCTTTTTCATCTGGCTTTTTCTGGGGCATTTTTGTCTGGTCACTGGAAATGCCGGCAGCCTCTCGGTGTCGTCCCGCTGCCGACAGTCGCACGCGTAGGTGCTGCGTTCCGGCAGGGTCGTGGTGGCT